GGGGGGGGGGGGGGGGGGGGGGGGGGGGGGGGGTTTGGAGTCCCCAAATCCACCGGCTCCACCCGTGTCCCCCCTGCACCGCCTCTTCCCTCCACTTCCTCAGCTATGCTTACAGTCTCAAGAAGAGACCAGAAGTTCTCACTTTTGCTGTATTCTTCTTAGTCTGCCTACCCTCCCAGGCTGAGCTGGGGGCTTCCCAAATACCATCACATCGTTCTCTATCTCCTCGTGGTCTCCCAGGAGTCACAGCAGCAGCTCCAGGTAGGGCCAGCAGTGCAGGAAGAAAACGGGGCTCAGGGGGCCCACGCAGCCTGGTTCTGTGACTAAGGGGGGGGGTCACAGATAACCAAGAAATCCGATAGCCCCTGCTGCCCCTGCCCCAAGTCTCTCTCCATTCCACCTGTGGGTAGGCTGCGGTCAAGAACAGGCCCCGAGAGAGACCATGGCTGAGAGATCCACATGTTTGGCTCCAGGCCCGGATCCAACCAAACCCAAGTGAAGTGAGCGCCTTTATGTGGCTGGGACCAGATATAGCAGCTGTCGTAGCTGCCACAGAGGATGGGACAGAGGCACCCAGACATCTCCCCCGGGAGCTACCCCGCTCCATCCCGTAAGTGAGGGCTTCCGCCTGACCCTCCAAATAACCAACACACACTCACTGAGAAGTTCCACCTCTCTCCCCATCTCGGGAGGGAATTCTGTGGGGGAATTCTGCGGGGTGAGGGGAGATTTAGGGAGAAGGCTGGTCAGCTGATAATGAAGAGAGCACATGAGATCAAAGACACTGTCCTCCAAGTCCAAAGGTTACTGCTCCGACTGGCTGGCACTGACCACCTGGGTTTGACTCCCACTCTCCCAAAGGGGCAAGTCATTGAACTCTCCCCCCCCCACCTTGAACCTGTTCCTTTCTGTAAAATGAGGTCGACATCGGCCTGCACACCCAGCCAGTCCTCTCCTGCTCTGGCCGGGAGGCTTCAGTGAAATGGGCTAAGCCACAAGGCACAGCCCAGACAGGAGCTGTCACTGTGCAGTACAGTGGAACTCGGGGAGGATGGAAGAGTTCGACCTCTGGCCTTGCCCACATCCACGCTGCTGCGGACGACCCCGACCGCAGCCCCCACCACAGAGGAAGGCAACGAGAGGGTCAGCACGGGGACCAAGTTTGCCCTCAGGCTCTGGCTGCGACATCTGGGCAGGTAAAGACTTGGCTTCAGCTCCACGGTGTTGGGCTGAAGTCTCCGCGAGGGAGGAAAGGGAAGAGCTGCTCCTGGAAATGCTCAGTGGGGGTCCCCCCCTACACACACACACACACACACACACACACACGCGCGCGCGCGCGCGCGAAAGCAGACCCAGGGCCTGCAAGCAAGAATGGAGCCGGGGCCCCCTCTCCCTCCAACCAGGGATCTGGAAAGCGAGGTGCAGAACTCCCTCCCCAGCCCACCTCCAAGACATTCACAGAACGACCTTTATTGTGGGTGAGAACTTTGCTACAACTTTGGGGATAAAAAGTAAAATTACAACATAGGTCCCAGGCCCCAGAGGAGCCTGAAAAAGGAGGCTGGGGAGAGCGGAAAGGTCCCCCCACCTCCCCGAAAAGGTGCAGGATTAGCCAGACCTCAGCACGGGGCCACGGGCCTTGAGAAGCTCAGGCCCCAAGCTGGTCGGTCAGCATACGCAACGTTGTGAACTTAAATATATAAATAGAGAGAGACCTAGGCGGTAGGCCAGGCCCTGCTCCCCAGCCCTAGGGGTTCAGAGCTGAGGCCTTAGCTCCTCTGCAGTCATACTGGGAAGTAGGAGGCAAGGGAAGTCATCTTTGGAGTATTTTGGTTTTTCTTGTTTATGTACAAAAAAAAAAAAATCTGCAACCCAAAATAGAGTTCTCTGTCAGCGTGTCGGCCTGTCTTAGCTTCTCCACCTGTGTGTTTGGCCAAAGAGAACGGAACGGACGTGAAGAGACAACAGATGAGGGGAAGGAACAGAACCATCGGTTTGGGGAAGAGAGGGCATCTGGGGGGGAAGAGAGGGCATCTGGGGGACAAGAGAAAGGCCCCTGCCCATCCCCCCACCCCCCAGGCTCTAGTGGATTCAGCCCTTCCCCCAGCTTACCCCCCCATCGCACGTGCCTCCCCCTGCCTAGGTTAACATACCCAAAGGAATGTGCCAGCCATCTAAAGAACATTTCCAAAAATAGAACCCAGAAGTCCTTAAAAAGAGGTTAAATATTAACCCTTTGGGTGCTGGCCTCGTCAGGCAGAGAGAAGGCCCAAACCAGGTATCCATGAAGGTCTTTCTGGCCTTTGGCCAAGGCCCCCCGGAGGGGCTGGGGTGGCCAGGGGTCTGGACCCCACAGCATACTTGCTCAGTGAAGTTTCCATAACCCAAGGGACTCAGTCCAGGGAAATGATGTCTGACCGGCATCCAGTCAAAGAGGGACCTGAGGACAGGGGCCCTCCATGCCCCTCCCTCAAGGCCCCCCCAGGGGCCACAATGCTACTGACGCGGCCAGGAGGGGGTGCTGGAGTGGTGCTGCGGTGAGAGCTCCCCAATGTGGGGGCGAGTGGGCCCAGGAAGTGGGAAGGGGTCCCTCGGTACTGGAAGAAGTGGCCAAGGGCATCCTGTTCGTCTAGCGAGGTGATGACGGAGGGACCATAGTGCTGGGAGGAATCAAGGGCACAGTTTTAAGATTTTTTTCTCCAGACTTCACCCGGCCTCCCCATCGCTCATCTCAGAAACAGCCGGGGAGAACTCAAGCCCTCCGGATCCCAAGGTAGCCTCTGGGAAGCCGGAGAGACACTCTTTCTTTGCCCTGCTTCCCCACCCCCTACCCCCTTCCCTGCCTTGAGACAGCGCCTCCAGCCCGCTAGGTTCTTGGCCTTGTGGGCGTCTGAAATGTGTGGAATGTCCGGCTGGGGCAGGCATGCCTCTCAACTGCACATGGGGGTGGGGGGCCGAGGGGTGAGCGGTCAGGGTCATGATTCTAAAAACTCTGGAGACGGAACAGTGACAAGGGAATGAAGAAGACATAGGGGAGGCTCTGCGGAAGCACCACTGGGGCCTAGGAGGCAAATAAAGTGCCCGCCTGCACCCCCCTCAACCCCCCAGCTCCCACCGACCCTCACAGAGACGCAGATTTCGATCCCAGGGGGAAATGACAGGGAGGGGGCCCATCAGTGCCTAGAAAGGGAGTTCAGGGATCTTTGATCTTCATGAGAGAAGGGACCACTTACCTGACTCTCAGTCTGAAGGAAAGAAAATAAGTCTAAACCTGGTAGGAAAAGAAAGATAAAAATCAACCTCCTGTCTGACCCCTTCATGGCCCCAAAACAAAAAGCCCTTGGACTGTAGCCCTTTGCAACACAGCCGGAAGGCTCTGAAAAGGATCAGGGGTTCCAATCTGCCATCAGGGCAGGGTGGCAGGGTAGAGCCCACCTCCCGACCGGTGTCCTACCTTGGATATCGGCCCCCAGAGGGAAAGCAGGTGGGTACTCATGCAGCGGGAGACTGGACAGGAAGTCCCCACCCAGCGTGCCCACAGCAGGGCTCCGTAGCACCGAAGATGGCTGGTGACCCGAAGTCAGGACTCTGTGAGGAGAGAGGAGGAGCTGGGCAGCCGGCGAACCACAGACGCCCTCGCCCAGCTCAGCCTCCTCAGCCCCCTCTCTGTCCCAGGCTTTGTCCAGGGATCAGAAAGCATTTCTGACCTCCTCCTCCTCCTCCGCCCCTTCTGCTGCAGCCTCAGCCTATTTCCTCATACCCTTTGCTTCCAGGTAGAGTCGGAATGGCAGCTGAGGTGACAGGACAGTGCTTTTTGGTCGGGGGCAGGTCCTCCTCGTCTGATGAGCTCTCTATCGTCAGGTCAATAACTTCAACCTTCTTCTTATTCTCTGCTGGGCTGCCATCTTGGACTGGGCTGTACTGGAGGCCTGTGGGTGGTAAGAGGACTGTGTCTCAGAGAAGAGGCCATCCAAGACTCAGTTCGGCTGGGGGACAGGGGGTCACTCACCATCCAGCCCATACCCTGGCGGGGGGCAAACCTCAGATGCCTCCTTCTTGGGTTTCATTGGGCACCAAGATCCGTCTTCCATGAACTGTATCTCATCACAATCCGAACAGGAATTAAGTATCTCCATGAATAAGCTGGGGGAAGGGGGGGATACGGGCATTTGTGAGGCTGGGAGATGGCTGGGAACAGCAGCCAACGAGTTTCCGGGCCTCACCTTCCCAAACGTCAGTTTCCCCATCCGTGAAACGGGGACAGTATTCACCCCTACTCACCTCTCAGGAGTTGTCCGAATCAAATAAAGTATGTAAAAGAGCTTTGCAAACTTTAAATGCTACGTTTCCCAAAAAAATACATCCTAAGCACGTTATTTCATGTAGTCCTTGTGAAAAGACAAAGGAGCAGAGATAAAGCAGCTCATAAATCATCTCAAGGAGGGCACTGGGATGAAGCCCATCATTTAGGCTCGGGAAGGGGGTTAGGACTAGCTAGATCGGCACATCCAGACACTCAAAAGAACACCTGTGCCACACTCAGTGAGAGGTCAAGTAGTTGTTAATGGCTGTAACCGTTCAATATGTGGACTCTGCCACTTCTTGACAATGGTAACTTTGACCAAGATAATCTCTCTAGGCCTCAGCCTCCTCACCTGGAAGGACAAGATCCATCTCCCAGGGTTAATTATGAGCACTCAGTGAGACGAGGCATGCAATGCACTCAACGTGATGCCTCATGTGGTAGATCCTCAGTGTTGGAAATATACACAGTTGACCCTGAACAACACGGGAGGTAAAAGCACTGACCTCACACACCATCAAAAATCCATGGACATCTTTTGCCTCCCCAAAAGCTTAACTACCAATAGCCCACAGTTGACCAGAAGTCTCACCAGTAACATCAACAATCAACCAACACTTTACTTTGCATGTTACGTGTATCACCTACTGTATTCTTACAACACAGCAAGCTAGACAAAATATTAAAATCATCAAGAAGAGAAAATACCATTGATATTTACTGGACTGTACTGAAAAAAATCCATGTCTAAGTGGGCCTGTGCTGTTCAAGGGTCAACTGTACATTATAAAAAGGATAAATTATATTTATATGTATGAAGGGATGGATAGGTTAAGAACTGGGCTTCATGGAGGAAAGGAAGCGTCTGATCTGTAGGTGGGAGGGTACCTAGTGGATGTCGAACATAAAAGGGAGCAGAATGCACAGCGGCCCTACCCATCAATGATGAGAGATTCATAAGGAGCCTTTTTGTCGCACACAGGACATGTCCATGTTGGCTTCTTCTCATTCATCTGTAGATAAAGGGCAGCATCGAAACTCTGCAGGTGGGCGCAGGTGACAGCACGACAAGGGACAGTCAGGCGCATCTTCCCTAGCTGAGAGGAGACAAGCGCTCTGGTCACGGTCCCTGCATCCCGGGGAGCCTCGCTCCAGTAGCCCTAGGAGCCCTCATCTGGGTCCACAGTTCAACCCAACCATCCTCCCTTCTCGTCTCCCTTGTACCCACCGGGCACATGAGGGACACCCGGAGACTTGTAGTGGCCACCTCACTGTCCGGATCGGCGGTCAATTTCTCCTTGACTGCAACAAAAATGAGGCCAGAGCCACGGGGTCAGCAAAGCCGGAGATGAAGCCCCAGGGGTGGCGAAGCCAGAAGCAGATAGCTCTGGCTGAGAGGCAGCTGGGCAGACTGCCTTTGGGGACCAGTGGGATGCCACATGGGGGCAGTCTCTGGAGGCCAGTGGGAGATCACATGAAGGCTGGGTATCAGGGAGAGATTTCCCCATCCCCGAAGATGCTTAAAGACAGCTAGGTGACACTTTGGCACAGATGACTTAGAGGGAACAGAAGCATCAAGAGAGGGTTAGATGAGATGATCCTTGGACTCTTCCCACTCTCAGGTCGCCATATTCCAGCAGGGCTAGAGGCCGGGTCTGGGAGGCACAAACCAGTTGTATAACAGGCGTCACTCAGAGCCTGGGAGTAGTCGGACTTCTCCGCCACGGAGATGGGTAAGGGGACAGGGCAGGGGCGAGGGTTCATGCGAGAGGTGGGGTCCATGGTCACCGGAGGGGTACGGGTTTGACGATAAAGGCTGGAGAACCAGGAAGACTTTGGATCTGGAAGACTCCAAATCAAAGTGGGAAGAGGGGCGCGACGCTACTCACTCAGTGCCCGAGAGTGATCTGGGTTCCGGATGCCCTTTGCTCGGAGTTTCTGTAGAAGGGTCCCTGCAGTCAGCTGCCTCACCAGGTACACAGACAACGAGTAGTTCTACTTGGAGGCAGGAGGGAGGCAGTTAGCATCTGCTCTGCACACTGCCAACACCACTGCCACCCACAGCCCAGCCCCTCGTCCCATGAGGGCCAGAGACGGCAGGTTAAGGCAGAAAGACCCATAAAGAGGAAGGTGTTTCCCCAACCCGGGACACCGGATGACTCCCCCTCACGCCCCGCCGGCTTCTGCAGGCCGCCTGCCCCAGCCCTGCTCACCCGTCCAAACTCGGAGGACCAATTGACCACGATGGTGTTGGGAACGGTGGCCGAGAGTCGAGCCAGGGGCGTGATGTTGATGGGGCGGCTGGGCCTCTTGGGCTCAGCCCCATTCTTGGTAGGGGGAAGGTAACCCTGCGGAAGGGAGGGAGGGGCTCGAGACATCTGGTCTCTCAGGTCACTTACTCACTTCCCAGAGGGAAGGCCAGCGCACTCAGTGACCAAGGAGAAGGGGGCCCATTCAGCGACTCCCAAAACTAGAGTGCTATCTAGGGCTAGGGGGGTTGTTATTCCTAGGGAGGAAGGAGAGCTTATTCACTGGCTTATTCACTCACGGAGTTCCTGATCAGAAAGAAAAGGGACACCCCATTTCTCCCAAATCTCAGCTTGGAGGTCATCACTTCAGAGCAGTGTTCTCTGAACCTTTGGGTTGAATGAACATCCCTCCTCCGAGTTCTGACAGAACGCTGTGCATCGGCCCCATCTCAGCATCCTCCAGATTATACTGATCGATCAGCAAACTGAGTACCTACTATGTACCAGGCACCGTGCTAGGCATGTCTCTTTCATAATAGGTTTGTAGCAAACATTGCAGAACTGAAACAGGGAAGAGGTTACTGCCAGAAGAAGGGAAGAGCATTTACCGGCAGGGGGCACAGTTTCCCATTGACCTTGACGAAGAGGTTGGGGGGGAAGTAATCTTCCTGGGGGCAGCTGGTCTCACAGAGACAGAACCTGGTAAGAGATGAGAGAAGAGGAGGCGGTGGGGGAGGTGGTTTCTTGAGTTGCAGCTGGCAGAAAGGCCGCAGACCTCAGACAGTCACAGATATCTGTAGCCCTCAGTATCCAACAAGAGGCCCAGGGTCGAATGGACATGACAGAGCAGGGCTATCTCCTAGCAGGATCTATCATACCCTTATTTCATTCACACCCCCAACGGGAGCCCGGCAGGGAGAGAGGGGGGAGGATCACCTCACCTTAGCTGCACCTGGATAGTATAGTCACATTTGGCTCCTGGCAGAACCTCTCTAAGACAAGAAGGAGAGGGGGACATGTCAGGAGGTGGCCCCCGGAAGGCAGGGCTGAACAGAGACACAGAAAGTTAAGTGTCCAGGGGATAGAGAAGAGACACACCGGAGAATGAGAGACAAAGCAGGTGCAGGAGCACGGATGGGCAGGAGAACAGGACAGGAGAGAAGAAAGTCAGGGGTAACAGCCCAGGATGCTGGGAGACATCTACCTGGAGGTGAGAATCTGCTGCACTTGCTGGGGCGTGAGGGCAAAGGTAAAGTGCGCCTCTTCAAACCGCTGGCTGGAAGTGGACGCTGAGGACACAGAGGGGCAGTTATTCCCAAGCCCATGCGCCGGCAGACACGGAAGCGGCCCCTGTCCCAGGCTGCCCATCCCACAGGACTAAAGGCTAAGAAAGGCTTGGGCAAGAGGCATGGAGGGAGGAGGAAGACAGAGCCGTACCAAGGGTGGTGGGCCGGATGAGCTCCCCGTAGACTTCATAGAAGGGTAATGGCTTCATGGTGACATCAGGGTGCACAGGCTGGGGCAGAGGTGGATGCAGGTCTACTTCCCGCTTGGGGCCCAGCAGGGGGCCAGGGGCCAAGAGGGCCGGCGGAATGGGAGCCAGAGGACCAGGGGAGCCGACAGGAGGGGTGCCGGGGGGCAGAGAGAGCAGGGAGAGATCAGAGGGCCCCAAGGTCTTGCGGGGGAAGCGTCGGCGATAGAGCTCTTTGATCTTCATCTGGACGCTGGGGGCGCAGCTGGACTTGAGCAGGTGCAGGGCCTTGGCCAGAAGCTCGTGCTTCCGTCCACTCTTGTTGCGGCCAGCAAAGCCGAGCAGCACCTGAAGCTCAGACACCCGGAAGCTCATCACCATGTGCTGTGGGGAACACAGACACTTGAGAATCCTGCCAAGGACGCCAGGGCCAAGCTACCCAGGAGGTGATGCCTCCTTCTGCCCTCTGCGCTCACCAGAAAGATGTTCCGCAGCCAGTGAGTTATGGCCAGACAGCCAACCTGGCCCAAGGGACATCTCAGTCCCATTTCAGCCACCCTCAGGTCAACCTTACCACCAGGCCCCCAGAGCGGGAGAGTGGCCCTATCTCCCTACACCCATAAGACGGCAGGTGGGGCGGGGGCACGCCATCCACAGAAACGCCTCTCTGAATCCACTATGGCCTCCTCTCCCCATCCCTGCCTTGAGCCTAGATGCTCCTTTAAGCTGCTTATCTCAGTTCCTGCTCTTTCTCAGAATCTCAGACCCATCCAAGCTTCCTGGGAAGAGGCGAGGAGACAGGGAGAAGGAGGGGGAGAAGGGGATTCAGGCCAGACAGCCCCACAGGGAAGAAAGGGGGCAGGCGGCTAGAGGATTATGCCCCACGGCACACCCCTCCCAACACCTCAATCCGCCTCGGCTATTTCCCCCAAGCCCCTGAAGCTTTTGTGGCCAGCGTTTCCAGGTCAGGGTTCAATGCCTGCAATTCCCCCAAATCCTTCCTTAGCATCATTTACATAAGCACCCCTCCCTCAGTCCTATTTTTCAAGGAGGTAGATGACAAAATCTTGGGGTGAAGGGCTTAATGGTAAATCGCTGCGTCCAGGCTACCTCCTGGATTACCTGCTCACAACATCTGCCAGGAACTAATATCCTGTTTCTCTCCTACGTAGAGAACACAAGTGGTCCTCCCCCTCCAGAGTGGTGGAAGAGGACAGGGCAGAATCGCAAGTTCCCCTAAAGGCAGCTGGGCCCAGGGCACTAGACCGCAAGCCCCCCAAGGAGTATGGCTCCATTTCAAAAGGGCAGAACAAAGCCAGGAGGCAGGGGGATAAACCCAATGGTTTTGTAAGGTTCTGTGACCTGTCCTACGATACGGTTACCCTCAAGGCTGTGTGGCAGTAGGAGAACACGAAAAGAACACCTTAAAGGACACCCTGCTGTGAATCCCTGGAAGACCTTGGCATGGGGAGGCCTTGCTAGCCCTCCCCAATTCTCTCCCTCCCAGGGGGTTTTAGGGCTTTGGACCCCTTTTGAGGAATGTGATGAAAAACTTGTTCTTCTACCTTTCTCCCCACCCGTATTTCCTCTGTCCCGTTTTTAGTTCTCCATTAGCTTTGTCCAAAACCTCCCCCTTTCTACCCCATAGTTTCACACTCCACGACTCCGGTCTCTGCCCCAAGATACCGATTCACCAAGGCAGCACCGCGGACTCAGCCTCCAGGATGCTTCGGCCCCACCCCTCGATCTAGCCGTCCGCACAGCCCCGCCCCCTAGATCTCAGCCGCCTACTGGTGCTTCCCCAGGCTCGGAACCCGGGAGCAGCCCCGAAGCCTCCATCCTCCCGTACACCTGCCCCCCCGGGCCCATCCCCACATCTGCCCCCTACTGTCGCATCTCTTGGCCTCGATCGACTCGCCCCCTGAGCCTCTACAGCAGCTTTCCCCCCTGGCCCTCCTTCCACCTCGGCCCCTACTACCAAACCCGACTTCTACCCCGCGTCCCCGCCCCCTGAGCCCCGGCCCCCCACAGCTGCAATTCCCCTCGGCCCCACCCCTACATCTGCCCCGCGGCCCCGCCCCCGGAGCCCCGCCGCAGCCCGGTCCTCGCCCACAGCCGCTTCTCTCCCACCCCCGGCTGCCGGTCGCCGCCACGTCTCCAGCCCCCTCCCGAGCCCTCAGCACCCAGTCTCGGCTGCCTCCCTGACTCTGCGTTCCGCCGGGCTCAGTCCAGATGGGGATGGGGGAGGGGGCCGGTACCTTTAATTCGCCCAGCTCCGCCATCTTGAGACATCGCAGGCGCCGGAGCCCGAGCCCGAGCTCAGGCCCAGGGACCGGCGCACAACTCTCCACCCCGGCGCCGGCCGCAAATGCCGCCTGCTCCGCCCCGTCCGGCCCCCTACACCTCCCCTTCCCGGCCCCGCCCGCCCGGCTCCGGACAGGCCGCAGGCTCGGCCCCTCCCTCCGCGGCCGGACCCAGCCCCTGCACGTCTCTGGCCCCGGTGCAAGACCTGAGGGAGAGTAGCCCGAAAGATCGCGGGGTCCCCGGGGGGGGGCCGAAGAGGGGGCGGAACCCGAAGTGCCTGGGGGAGGCGGCTTTGCCACGCCAGAGTTGGGAGGGGATGAGCTTTTAGGGAGCCAGAGACACTTGAAATATGGAGGGAAAGTGTCGAGAACTGCTGAAGCTCCGAGAAATGGGGGAGGGGTGGCGAAGTTGGAGGGAATACCCATCTCCCACTCCACAAGTTTAGCGGGCTCAAGTCAAGAGTTCTGCCAACTCGGGGAATGGGTGAGATCCGATCCCTTCCAGAGAAGCTATGGAGTTGTGAACAGTTCGTTTCAAGACGGCTATACTCAATCCTTCGCCCCTACCCCCACCCCGCCACCAACCCACTACAGTGTTGCTAGTGGTTCCGCCGTAGGACTCCAACTCGGCAGCAAAAAAAGTTTGGTGCGATGAGCGGGACTTACCAGCACCGTTGCAGGGAGCGGGGAGGGGCTCGGGAAGCTCGGCGGGTGGGCAGGGGAGGTGGGGGGAGGGGAGCCCACGCCGCTCCCGCGGTCTACGAGGCTGGAGGTCGGTCCGGCAGCTGGACGCTGCCGCCGCAGCCCCGCCCGGACGGGAGCTCCGCCCGGCCCAGCGCTGGGGCTCGGGCCGCCCCCTCCGGAGTGAGCCCGCCAGAGCTGCCGAGACTGAGGGAGGGGGCGGAGTCTGGGGCGGGAGGGGGCGGGACTCCCAGCCGGGCGCCGAGAGATTGACTCCTCTAGCGAGTGGTTCGGTAGGTAAGACCTGCTCCCATCTCCTCCTTCTCACTGTCGCTCTGACCCCTTGCGCTGGTGTGCACCGGGGTGGAGTCGTGCTGCAAAGAAGACCCGGGGGGCCCGGGATCGGCCCGCTTAAAGAGGTTCCTATTTGGAATGAGACTCTTCTCCCTGGGAAAGCCTGAGCTACTAGAATCCAAAGTGTACCTGAGCCCTGACCCTACCTGGGGTCCCTTACCCCCTACCCGGAATACACAGAGTGTCACCAGAGCCCCCACGCCCTTGGTGTAGCTAAAGATAAACAGGGGGGGAGGTTTTCTTACCCGAATGAGTCGTCTCTCTGCCTCTCTCTAAACTACTTACTCTTCTTCAAAGCCTCTGACCTTCCAGAGATCCTATTCTCAACCAAGCTAATCACTCAATTTTCGGGCCGTTTACCCAAACTACGTACTGGGAAAATCCATAGCATTTTACAGTTAGTTGGCTGGGGCTGAAGCAATAATGTCATTTGTTCAACAAACATTTGAATGCTGTTCAGAGACTGTTTAGGGCTGAGGACATGAAAAGCCTTTCAGGAGCTCAGTCTAGCAGCTGCTGCAAGACAGGTAAACCTGTAATTGGCAAGGGCCGCCAGCTTGGCTCAGTCAGATGAGTCAGACTCCTGATGTGGGCTGGGGTCATGATCCCAGGGTGGTGGGACAGAGACTCACGGTCAGCTCAGCGTGGAGCCTGCTTAGGATTCTCTCTCTGCCCCTCTGCCCTACTGGCACTTGCTCTCTCTCTAAAACAAACAACAAAAAACACCTCTATTTGGCATAAAATAGTGCTTTAACAAATAATATAACTAACCCTCTCATTTAGATTAAATCTTCAGTATAATAATTCCTGTGAGACCCCACCCAAGCCACAAGAATGAAAGTACCAGCCTATCAGTATCTGGAGGTACCTGTTGAATTGGACCATTGCCAACTACGTTGTAGATTCTGTCCCTGGGGAAGATGTGCACCCTCTCCTGACACTCAGGTTCTTTCCCTGCTGTTTGCTGCCAGCAAGGTAAGACCTCAAGGTAAACTCAAGCTCAAGTACTCGGTTCTAAAGTCCAACTGCCCCTTACAACACTTGAGTCTTTGTCAGTCCCTAAGCTCATTTTTTTGCTCTGTTCAGTCACATAGATCAAAAGTTACTATGGGGACGCCTGGGTGGCTCAGTCTGTTTAGCATCGACTTCGGCTCAGGTCATGATCTCATGGTTTGTGAGTTCAAGCCCTGCGTTGAGCTCTGCACTGACAGCACCAAGCCTGTTTGGGATTCTCTTTCTGTCCCTGTCCCTCTTGCGCATGCTCACACACACACACACACACACACACTCTCTCTCTCTCTCTCTCAAAATAAATAAACTTTTTTTAAAAAGTTACTATGGACTAGTTTGTATCGTCTAGAATTTTCAGTGACTCAGAGAGAAAGAAAAAAAGAGAAGGGGGATTCTTTGGGAGTGATATGTTCATTATCTTGATTGCGTGATGGGTGTTATGTATGGGTGTACACATATGTCAAACTTATCAAATTGTACACATTAAGTACATGTAGTTTTCTGAATGGCAATTATAACTCATTAAAGCAGTAAAAATATAAAAGAAAAAAAGGAAGTCAACCACACCTTGAATCCTAGTGGTTTCCTAAAGAAGGGATCATCTTTAATAGTTAATTGGAGGTTGTAAGTTCCAGCATCCCTACAGGAAAACTGAAAAGTAAGAACCAGGAAGCCAGCTCTGTAAGGACAAGAACCTTTTCTGAGATGTTCACTCTCTCGTCTGAGCCTGGCCCATAGCAGACTCGTTCAATATCACTTTAATGATTTAATGTTATCAGACAAAGGGGGGAGACCCTGAATCAGGACCAAGTTCCGGATTGAAGGCATTCAAAGCCATAGTCTGACCCCATCGTGGCAACCAAGCTCCATCTCCTCTCACCCATATACTCCTAAATCTGAAGCCTGAAGAACAAGGCGGAGAGCAAAAACAGGATTACGAAGTCCCTACCTAAGTCTCATTCAGCAGACAGCCGAGGGGGGATGAGGGCAAAATTAGGACTAGAATTACTTTGGGACAGAAAGGTTTATTTATGAAATCAAGGAAAATTTGGGAGCTTGGAGCTGTTGGGGTAAGGGTTTATGGGATTGTTCAGAAGGACACTGGGAAGACCAGGGGCTGGGGAACATTCCATCCTGTGTTAGCATTAACATCACTGACCATTCCCATAACTCAGCCATCCTGGGATCAGCTTCTGTTACTGAAGCTACTTCCTGACTCCTACTTAAACTTGGACAAATCATCTCCCCTGCCTGGACCCCTCTCTCTCAACAGTTTCTTCATTCTTCCCACCCCACACTCCATAAATGATAAGGACTGTAACAGTCCTTCGATGTTCTTTGGTAACCACAGGAAGGGAAAGAAAGGTTCTGTTCCCCTTCATGGAAATGACTCGAATCTTTCACATGCTCTTCCTCTGGCAGCGGTACCCTCTCCTTCTCCACCAACCCCTCCGGTCTCCATCCTTCCTGCCCGAAAGCAGTCCTGTGCCCGGCACACAAATCCCAAAGCTGACCTTCATCCTCTCTAGCACACGATCCACACCCCGCTGCTCTCTTCTGGTCCAAACCCTGGAGCCAGGCCCAGCAGCACCCCCCTGTCTTCACAGCACTCCCTCCCCACCCTCCCCTCAACCCAGTCAGGCTGTTTACTGCCAAACAGTGGCCTCCCACCCAGCATAACCCAGCAGGGGGCTGGCCTGCAGAAGGACCAAGGAAGGATCCACACCGCAGTTCCAGATCCATGAGGAACTTGCTGCCTCTCTCACACCTAGCAGTCTGGCTGGTGGAGGGACAGGAAGGGGAGGAGACCCATGGGAAGTGGCCAAGACAGATACATTTTTTTTCAATCGGAGAACGGAACTGGAGGGAAGAAGTCAGCTCTGTGTATCCCTTTCCCCGGAATCAGACTTTTCACCCCTCTTTGTACCTGGGCAAAGAACATGGACCGTGTGAGCCCCTGTGCCTCAGCTCCAGATGCCTGGTTTGACACCCCATCAAATATTTTAGAGTCTACATCTTGAAGGAAAAAAATCCAGGTCTCTCAATCTCTCCTCCTTAAAAAAAAATATAGCGGATGCAGGAATCACAAGATAGAGAAGAAGAGATGAGAGACAGATTTGAGAAAGAGAAAGAGCGTCGACCTCCATTTTCACAGAGTGCTGTTTTTCAAATTGGGGGCCTTGACCCATTGGCGGATGCATTTGGAGCAATATTTTTTTCCAGTAGAGAGTCATAGCAGAGAATAGCCTAGAAGGAAAATAGTAAGGGTAAATACTATTTCACGTAGATGCGCCACGATGCAGTGTTATTTCTTACCATGGATCATAATCGAAGTTTGAAAGCTGCTAACTTTGGGGGCCATTGGTGATTTAAAAAAAAAAAAAGTGTCTCTTCCCCCACTCTCCTTTGAACAGAGAAAACAGGGACACCCAACACCAGACAGCCTCCTACTTTATTTTCCATAGCACTGGACTTGGTGCGTCTCCTCTGGCCTCATCCATGCTGACATTTCAGGAGTGAAATGTACACACTGCCATCTCCTCAGCCTCCTCCCACCCATGCCAAGATGCTAAAGGGTCTGTCATCTACCTGGGCCAGAGAAGATGGCCACATGCACAAGGGCAGCAAGAAGAGCTGGGAGGGTGACTACCCTCTGAATGAATGATGTGCAAGTGAAGGAGAGATTCTGGGGTTCACAGAGTCCCACCTTAGCAAATGACTCCTTGCCACCCTGCCATCACGGCCACCTGTCACTGGTATTTCTAGGCTGGGCCTGAGGAGAGCCACTCAGCAAGTCTCCTCAGGCCCCATCCCACGTCGGTCCCCTTCAGTCTACTTGCTCCCTGCTTCCACCCAGTGATTCCCCAGATTGTCTTCTCAACTGACCTTGCTTCAAATGCTCTACACCCCACAGGCTCCCCAATGTCAGCCATCACCACATGGGGCCAAAGGAGACTCCATTTCCCATCTGGAAGCCTCTTTTCACAAATCCTTTCTCCAGGCTCCTTCCCCCATCACCCCTGACCCACAACTCACCAGGGAGAAATTGGGGGACATCACACACCCCTCCGGGCAGCAGCTGCCTCACCCCTCCCGTGTGCTGAGGATCCGCAGTAGGATATCATACACATCTTGCTGCATGTAACCCTGCAAGTGGCAGGAAGGGAAGAAAAGGAGATGAAAAAAACAGAAAATGGGGAGAGACAGATAAGGGATTGTTGTGTGGTACAGCGGAATGCTGTTCTACTAACTAGGTCCCCTGGTTTACAGTGTGTGACCTCTCTACAGCTAGTTCCTAGTCTTCACAAGGAAGATAATGATATCTACTTCCTGGGACTCCTGCGAGGGTTAAAAACCATGATTATGAAGCAGAGCACAACACATGTCCGATCCTTTGTAGCTGTTATTTTTCCTAATAGACGAGCAAGCCACCCACCTCTTTTCCTTGGTGAGGGATCATTTGGTTCAGGAGGAAACTGAGGAAACTGAGGGAAACTAAGGGGCAGGAAAAGGGCTTACAGTGGATCAGGGAATTGACAAGGAAAGGCAACCGCCTCTCCCCCTCACATTCACATACAAACATTTTTGATCTACCTAATGAGACCCAGAGACCCGACACTGAAACATCTGAAGTTCAGCTTTCTGGGGCACCTGGGTGGCTCAGGTGGCTAAGCGGCTGACCCCTGATATCGGCTCAGGTCATGATCTCAGGTTCATGAGATCCAGCCCTGCGGCGGGCTCCGCACTGAACGTGGAGCCTGCTTGGGGTGTGGAGCCTGCTTGGGATTCTCTCTCTCTCTGCACCAAATAAATAAACATTAATAAAAAAATAAATAAAAATAAAGTCCAACTTTCCAGGAAACGACAGGCAAACGCAATACCCCCAAGCCCCCGGCCCAGCTCTCTGTCCGTACTCCCTCCCATGCTCACCTGAGCAGCATTTAGCAGGTGCTTCCTATAGGCAGAGATGATCTCTTCCTGGTTCTTCTGGGAATCCTGGGAGTGAGCACCAGTGAGAGATTATCCAGCCACCCTAAGGCACACCCACCTGGACATGACCCTCCCCCACCACCACCACCACAGCATGAGGAACAACAGAAGGAAGTGGCCAGCTGTCCCACAGAGTCCCCTTCGGCCCACCACCAGCCCAGCCTGGCCCACTGCCTGCAAATCCCAGAATCTTCCTCACTCATACATCCCTGCCACGGGCCACCCTCTGCTCCAGCAGCGGCCATTTCCCTGAGGGTCCAAACACACCTGCAGCTGCAGGGCAAGGCGAGCGTTCTCCCCCCGCACTGCCAAGACCTCCTCTGACAGTTGCTCCAGCTTCTTCAACAATTCCTTGATCTGAGGCCAAAAGGAAAGAAAGGGAACGGAGGAGGCCCAAATCACTTCCCACCCTGATACCATCCAGGGTCAAGGTCAGCTGCCTTTCATTGGGTATGGAACATGTGCCCGAAACTTTGACACACATTGTCTCAATTCGTACACAAAACAGCTCTTCTGTCCCCGGAAGAACAAAATACTTCTCTAAGGGAAGTATTATTATTCACATTTTGTAGGTAAGGAGACTGAGTTAAGTCATTTGTCACAATCATACAGCTAGCAGGTAATGAAATAATGATTCGAACCAAGATCTCTCTGAACTCATGGTCAGTGCTCTTAACTCTGTGCTGAATCCTGACCTACCTGTGACTGCTGACCAGTGAGGGAAACAGAAGTGACTTTTGTTTTTGTGGTTTGTGAGGCTGAGGAACACACTCAGTTAATGATAACCCGCCTAATAGAAACGGTGGTAGTAGGGACAATAAAAAAAGCTAACTTTTAAGGGGCAGCTGGGGCTCCATCAGTTGAGTGTCCAACTTTGGCTCAGGTCATCATTTCACAATTTGTGAGTTCGAGCCCCACATTGGGCTCTCTGCTGTCAGCCTGTCAGCGCAGAGCCTGCTTTGGATCTTCTATCCCCCTCTCTCTGCTCCTCCCCTCTCTCTCTGCCCCTCCCCTGCTTGCGTGCTCCCCAAAATCAATAAATAAGTAAAAAACAGCCAACTTTTGTTTGAATACTTATCACTTACCAAAAAATTGTTTTGCGTGTTCTAAATATAATATCGTATTGATGTAATCCTCAGGACAACCCTATTATTGTCCTCATAGACGAGATTATAGAGGAGGCCTAGATAAGAGACTTAGAAGTTTAGATAACTCATCCAAGATCAAGCAGTAAGTTTTGAAGCTGAAATTCAATGTCAGACTCCACTATTTCGCACTTTTGTCTACATTCATCTTCTCCTTCAATACCAACACAAAATCCCTCCTTTCTTTAATTAGCCCCGCCCCAAGCGGGAAGGGGAGAGGGAGGAGCTACAGGCTAGTCTACTTTCTTTTCTTTCTTTCTCTCTCTTTTTTAATGTTTGTTCAGAGTGTTTTTTTTTTCACTCCTTTTCCTTTTCTCTCCCTCTCTCTGTCCTTCTTTTCTATTTTTAATGTTTATTTCCGAGAGAGAGAGAGCGAGCGCAAGCAAGAGTCGGGGGGGTTGGGGGCAGAGAGAGAGGGAGACACAGAATCCAAAGCAGGCTCCAGGCTCCGAGCTGTCAGCGCAGAGCCCGACGGGGGCGGGGCCTGGAACTCACTAGCTGTGAGATCATGACCTGAGCCGAACTCTGACGCATAACGACTGAGGCACCCAGGTGCCCCTAGTCTACTATTCTAAACCCATCAGCCCCTGAGTCACCTCCTCGGAACCCTAGCAAAACCACAGCAACCCACCACATCCGCAGGCCTCTCCCTGGGCTGATACAGGTATCCACGGTTGAAGTGCTAATAAACTGCAGTAGGCCGGGAGTTGGGGGTGGGGGGGGCGCAGCTCTGGCCGCCCTGCTTCTGAACCCCGACTAAGCCCCCACCTCTCTGCTATTTATACCTTAACTTCACCTCCAGTCTCGACCCCGGATCCCCGAGCGCCCGGAGAACGCCGCGTGGTCCTTGCAAACGACGGAGCGTTCGGTTCCGGGGGCGTGAGACTGACTCGGCAGAGGCCGCCTCGGGCCCGCAAAGCCGCACCGGAGCCTTCCCGGACGGACTGCCTGGCGCGCTCACCTTGGCCTCCTTGTCCCGGCAGGCCCCGATGAGGTGCTCCACCTTGTCTCTGAGCACCTGGGCCGTCTTCTCGAACTGCTGCGAGCGCTCGCACGCGGCGGCGGCCTGGCGCTCCTGCTCCGCGGCCCGCGCCGCCAGCTCCGCGCCGCGCCGCCGCTCGTCGGCCGCGGCCTCGCGCAGCCGGCCCAGGTCCCGGCACGCCGCGTTGTACTTCTCCAGCACGGCCTTCAGCTCCTGGCCCCACGCCTGCGCCTGGGCCACCAGCGAGCCCCGCGTCTTCTCGTGCTGCCGCAGGCTGGCGGCCTCGCGGGCCCGCAGCTCGGCCACCTCCTCGGTCGCCTGGTACAGCAGCTTCTTCAGCGTCCCGATCTCCTGGCTCTTGCCGCTCATCGTGGCCTGGACGGCCCGCAGCTCTTCCTCCAGCTTCCCCAGGTCCTGCTCCAGAGCGGCCACCTCGGGGGAGACGGGGGCGTGGGAGAAGGCGCCTGGCTGCCCGTGGGGGCCGGGGGCCCCGCGCAGCCGCCGGTTTTCCTCCTCCAGCCGAGCCAGCGCGGCCTGGGCCTCGCGGTGCCCGGCGGCCAGGGCGCCGATGCAGGCCCGCAGCTCCTCCAGGGGCTCGGCCGCCGTGCGGCCCGCACCGCCCTCGCCCACCAGCTCGGGCGGCAGGTAGTCCCACAGCCCCCGGAGGCCGCTGCTCTGGGAGGCCAGGCGCTGCCGCAGCTTCTCGGTGGCCTCCTTCTCCATGGCCAGTTCGTCCGTCAGCAGCCCCACGCTCCGCCGCAACTGCTGCAGCTGGTCCTGCGCCTCCGGCTTGGGGACGAAATCCCGCTGGAGCCGCCGGCTCAGGGCCTGCAGCTCCCCCTGCAGCCGCTGCCTCTCTTGCCCCAGCTCCCCCAGCTCCCCCAGCAGGTTACTATTGCTCAGCCTCAGCGCTGCCACCTCCTTCTCCAGCTGCCCCTTGGCCAGACCTCCTCCCGGCACCTGTCCCCTTCCGGAGGCCCCTAGAGGTTCTCCCCGGGCCCCAGGAGCTCTTTGCTGCCCGGCTTCGTTCTCTTCGGGGGTGGCCGCCTGCGGGGCTCCCCCTCTGGGCTCCTGGGCGGGGGCCTCGGGCTTCACCGGCAGGCCGGCCTTTGCGCGATCCAGCCTCACCAGCACCTGCTCCAGCCTGGCCTCCATCTTCTCCCAGGCGGCCGCCGCGGCCTCGGCCCGGGGTGTCCCCAGAGCCCCCTCCAGGACCGGTCTTGACAGAGCCCCTCGGGCAGCGTCCTTGTCTCGCCACACCTCAGCCAGCTCCTCCCTCAACTGTAGCAGGAGCTGGTTCACATCGATGGTGCCCGGCGGGTGAGCCCCTGGGGCCTGCGGCCTCTCTTGCTGGCCCGCACGTGGCTGGTCGGTAGGATCAGGGCCGAGGGCCTGTCCACCACTGGGGGCCAGCTGCTGTCCTGTGGCTTTCCCAGTGGTCTTGGACCTTGGGCTCTGGAGGGGGCCCCGTTCTTCTGGTTGAGCCCCTCCGCCGGCTTCATACTGGACCTCCCCCGAGGCTGAATCCTCGGCCTTCTTAGAAGCTGACAGTGGGTTGGCTGCGGCCTGCTGCTGCTGCTTCAGCTCCTGAACGCGCTCAGCCAGCAGCCCCAAGGGACAGCCCCGCTCCATGCCGTCCCCTCCAGGCCGCAGACTAGAGCCCTGCCCTCCTGGCGCTCCAGGCTGTTGGGACAGGAGGAGCCCCAGCTCCCGCACCTGCTCTCGAACCCCGTTCTCCAGGCCCAGGTAGGCCGCAGCCTGAGCCTCACTCTCTTCTGTCTTTCGCACCAGCTCCCGTTCCAACTGAGAAACCTTCCTCTGCTCCTCCTCATACTTCCATCTCCACTCCTCCGAGCCTGGATCTTCCTCCTCCTCTTCCTCGGGCTCCGCTCTCCATGGGCTCTTGGGTGGAGAACCCACGGGAGGGTCAGATGGAGGGGCCTACACGGGAAAAGGAATAGTGAAGGAAAGTTGGGCAGCTAGCCGGGCCCCAGGACGGCCTTTCTTCTCTTAGACTGTCCTGATGCCCCCACGATCACTCCCTTGGAGATATCCCAGTGGGAGAGCCCTGTGGGGGGAGGGGGGCTCAGAAGCCAAAGGCACTTAGGGTCTTACCTGGGAGGCATGATCTGGATGTTGAACAAGCCCCTGACCTATACCAAAAACAGCAGGGGGGGGGTCGGGAAATGAGAGTGGAGAAAGCCCACACTTCTAGCCCACGTCTTCTAGCCCATGCTTTATCTTCAGACTTTTTCTGAGAGGAACCATCCCCAGATTTAATAACCCTTCCCACACGTGGCTTCATGGTGCCGGGACCCCACCCCCCTGCGTGTTGAAAGGGTCCCTAACTATCTAGCACCTTGGGATCCCTATCACGGGATGGGCCAGCTCATTCATTTTGTTTGCTCGCTTATTTATTAGACACTGGGTCAGGCCCCGTCATAGGCACCAGGACCTCAATGGTGAGCAAAACAGCCAGTGGCCTGTCATCTGAGGGTTTTCCAGGCCCATGGGGGAGATGGAGACTGACCACCAAATCACACAAACGGATATACGATTGTACCCACAGACGGTAGCAGTAGCACCAGGCAGAAGTGCCTTCGGCGAGAGACACAAGGCTGCATGAAGGAATTCTGTGACCATGCTTTTGGGAATTTGGGTCGTTTCACAGTAGCAGCAATAAGTAAATGAACACGCAACTAGTTGGTGACAATAGAGGGATTCATTCATGAGAACGGCATTCTAAGAAGCTTCCAGAAGGGAATCCGCCTTACCTCCCTGCCGCCCCTGCCGTTGCAGGGCCTGCCGAAGCAGCCTCCACAGCTCCCTGTCTTCTGTGTGCAGAGCGTAATGCAGAGCGTCGTGCCCCTGGCTGTCCACTGCCCCTGCGTCTGCTCCATGGCTCAGGAGCAGTTCGGCCACCTCAGCGCTGCCTTTCTCACATGCCAGGATCAGAGCTGACCTGTGGGTGGGACAAACCTGGGCATACGCTTTCCCCCCGGGGAGCCCAGGGAAAATGATTCCAGAAATTCTGGTTCCAGAAATTCTGCTCACCGAGTCAGATCTCCCTCAGTGTGGGGAGGAGAACCGCAGGCTGGCACCAGCCATTGACCAAGCATTAGACCAGACCAGAACATTCCAAATGCCGTTCCTTGGAACCGCAGCATCAGAAAGCCGGCGGGGGGGGGGGGGNAAATGGAAAGTCTATTAGAAAAATTGTATTTAGAAGGAATGCCATAGTTAGGAATGGTAAAAAATAATTTTAAGATCTTAAGATTTATCTAACTATAAAGTAGATTATATTTATGTTCTACTTGTTGAATATAAAGCAGAAGCCACTAAGAAATTCACTACAAAAGCATTGCATGGGAACCCAATGAATATTAAACAAGCATTAAAATCATGACTTATGCTCTAATTATAACCATATAAAAAGATGCATAGGATAAGATGCAATAAATACATTTTAAAAGAAAATATAGGGGCGCCTGGGTGGCTTAGTCGGTTAAGCGTCCGACTTTCGCTTAGGTCATGATCTCGCGGTTCGTGGGTTCGAGCCCCACGTCGGGCTCTGTGCTGACTGCCAGCTCAGAGCCTGGAGCCTGTTTCAGTCTATGACTCCCTCTCTCTCTGACCCTCCCCTGCTCACGCTGTGTCTCTCTCTCTCTCCTAAAAATAAATAAAATATTAAAAAAAACAACAAAAAAAAATAGGAAAGTCTCGCAAAAACCTTCTCAACTCCCCAAGGGGAAAACAGCAAAGCAGCAAGCTTTTCTGAACAGTTGCTCAGAAGGAAGAAGGTTCCCAAGAAAACAGAGACTAGTCTTCCTTCTTCCCCAATACACGCACACATACACACACACATTGCCCAGGTGCTCCTTCCTAGACTGTCAATGTCTGCACTGGGTATGGGGGGATGGGGAAGACTCACTTGGTATCCTTGTCTGTGACATTAACTTGGGCACCTCTCTGCAGGAGCTGTGAGCAGATAGCCGCGTGGCCACCCAGAGATGCAATCATCAGGGGTGTACGTCCGTCCTGCACAGATTGTGGGAAGGAAGTTCATGAGGGGCCTGGGGGAGCTGGAGGGCCTGACAATTCTATCAACAGCCCTCTCCCAACTCTGCTCCTGAAAAAAGCCCAGACCCAGGGCCTAAGTACCCCTTTCTGAAGGATTGGAAGCCCCTCCAGGACATAAGGCCTAAACCCTCCATGAAGAAGACGAGGAGGAGCAGAGTGAGAAGGAAGAGGAGGTGTGTACAGCCCTGGTCACGGAGCTTAGCCAGTCAAGCTCAGAGAGAGACAGAGAGAGAAAAAGAGCATCAGCCTCCCTGTGAAGGTCACTGCCCGGCAGACACTCACATTGTCTGGGACGTTCAGGAAGGCTTCGTGGTCACACAGCAGGAGAACACTTGAGGCACAGCCAGAGGAGGCTGGGGGGTGTTGAGGGGTGGTTGGGTTAAGGAGAAGCAGACGGACATCTAGTCAGACTGTGACCCGATATTGTCTTCAACCATGTCAGCAGGCAGCACCGGCCTGCCCTGCCCCCCAAACGTTGGGCTCCCTCCCTTTCCACCCACGGTCCCTGAGCCCTGTGTCCCACCGGTCCCTCAACGCACACCTGCCCAGTGCAGCGGACTGCGATTCTCGGCATCCACGGCATCTTCATTGGCACCGTGCTGCAAACAGCCACAAAGGAGAGCAGTGTGGGGCATGGCCGTGCCACCCTTCTCACACACACACCCCCACCATCTATGGGGATCACCAACTCCCATAGTCCCACAGGGAGGGAAAGGAGGACCGTGGCCCTGGCCAACTACTAGGCAAGCCCCATCCACCCCTTGCGGATGACAGGCAGTGTTGAATTTCAGACCCAGGTCTTAAACCTAAGGCCCAAGAAAAATTAGGTTATAGACAAATGAGCATGTCAGAGAAAATGACACCCGAGTCCATGGCTGGGACTTCGGGATCATAAGGGGGAAACTTGGAAAGGGCCAGAGAGAAAAAAAGCGGAGGAGCCATGTGCCCCGTGGCCTGTTGAACTGTGCCTTTGGGAGACCAGTTTCTAGATGGTCTATGTGTCATTTCATATTTGTCCTCAAGCGCCTAGGCTACAGGCTCCTTAAAAACGGATAGCAGCTTTGGGGATTAACTGGGACACCTGTGTCCTCCGTCCACCTGCCCAGCCACTCAGCAGTTCGCCTCTGTGTGGGTGTGCATGGTGCCCACACATAGTGGGCCTTACGTAAATGTTTGCAAATGAATGAATACATGATTACCAGCTCTCTTACTGGGGATGAGAGGGGTCCATTTGGCCAAATGTCGCTTGTGACTATAAGACGTTAGAAGATTCTAGGCCCCCTTCCTCCCTTTGCACGAGTAGTATCGAGTAGTATCAAGAGGCTGCTCTTACCTGCAGCAGGACTTTGACACATTGTGGCTGACAGGAGATGGTGGCCAAGTGCAGAGCGGTGCTTCCTGGGGAGAGAAAGGGGGGGACAGAGGGTGGGTGGCCCCATGCAAGCCGATGACTCACAGGGAGGGAAGGCAAGAGACGCACAGATAATCAGAGGGAGATTACAGAGAGAAGCCCTCAGCCCCACGGGGCCAGAAATTCCTGTTCCCCGAGTGCCCGTGGTGGAGGTAGGAGTAGGGGTGAGGTAAACCCAGAGGAGGGTTGGCAGAGAGGGGTCTGCAGAGAGGGAAGGATGCCAGCCAGGAGCGGTGAGGAGGGCGCGGGGGACTGCAGTTGGCACCTTGGGCAGTTGACCGCTGCCTCTCTAAAGGGAGAGGCCAGCAAGGTGGCCCAGTGCACGACCTAACTCACCGTCCTCGTTCTTGCTGTTGATGTCAGCCCCGTTTGCGAGCAGGATAGTCAGACTTTCTGTCAGGCCTTTGGCGGCTGCCAGATGAAACCTGCCAGAGTCAGGGCCAAGGGACAGAAGGATGAAGGGACCAGGGGATGAGGGAGGCGAGAATCTTTACAAGCACCGCCTGCTGTGTTCCTTCACCCCAGAGCCAATCACAGCAGCGGACGGGGAAGTTTCCCCTAGCCTGACTTTCTGAGCGAAAGCCAACGTGGCTTGCTGTCAGGAAGCCAGGGGAGGCTGGGAAGCCGAGACAGAAGAGCTGCAGGTCTCAAGGAACCCAGACTTTCACAGGGGTGTCCAGGGAGCACGTAACTGCCCGTTGCTCTGACCGCATGACCCTCTACAGACTGGAGCTGTCCCTGAACAAGGCAGTCAGAGCAGAGCAGAGCAGAGGGCTGGGCATTTGAAGGTGTGCCTGGGTAGAGACCAGGGATGATGTCCGTCTTGCCCCTCCCACTCTGCCGAGCCATGTGTCGGTCACGGCTACCACTGGGTTCCTAATCCCTCAAGCTTGTGCTCCCTCCTACCCATGCAATAAATAAACGCTGTATTTAGCGTCTGTGCCCCATTTCTGTCTGTTTCACGTGCTTCCTGTCTGGGCTTTGTTTTGTTTTGTTGCCAGTTTTGTCAATCTGGGTCGTGAGACTGGACTCAGGGACGATGGCTTCTCCCCTCGCCACGTGCAGCCCTGGATGGTGGCAAACGCTGATTGACATGCTTGATGATTAAGACAAAATGGTCTCTGGGGGCGCCTGGGTGGCTCAGTCGGTTAAGCTCTGACTTTGGCTCAGGGCATGGTCTCACAGTTCGTGAGTTCGAGCCCCGCATCAGGCTCTGTGCTGAATGCTCAGAGCCTGGAGCCTGCTTCGGATTCCGTGTCTCCTTCTCTCTCTGTCCCTCCTCTGCTCATGCTCTGTCTCACTCTGTCTCTCAAAAGTAAATAAATGTAAAAAAAATATTTTTTCTAAAGGGGGCTCTGGGGTTTTAGGCATTTGCTGGTCCTACCTTATCTTGGGGTTTAAGACTTTCAAAGACTTGGGGTTTTAAGACACATCAAGGCGGGTGCTTGGGAGAGGGGACTCACGAGGACTGGCCGCTCGAGTTCAGCTTGGTGGGTCGGGCCGACTTCCTCGAGGCCAGCGCCGCCACGCGTCCCACGTCCCCCCGCTGCACGGCCTCCAGCAGCTTCTGATCGCGGCGGTTCCATCTCTCTACCTGGTCGCGGGCCACACATTGTGCGAACACGGGGTGGGGTTGGAGTGGAAAAAGGGAGGAAGGGTGTCGGGTAAGGGAAAAGGGACATCCCTGAGCTCCTCCCAACATTCCTCAAGTCACTCCTATCCTTCACTGAATCACTGCTGCCAGCCCCGGACTGAAGGGTACTTAGACCACGAGATTTACAGTCATGTTCGGGCGCTGAATGCAGAGTATTTCAGATGCCTTTTTTTTTTTTTTTTAACCCTCATGTGTGATTATTGCTGTGAGGGGCGCAAGCTCAGAGCGACCCTCGCCATGACTCCTTCCCCTTTGGCTCGCCAGGTCTTGCTGGAGTGAACTTGGCCACACTGATCGCTCCCAGCGAGGCTCACAGGACCATCTCCCTGCACCGCTTTGTCTCTTGTCCTCAGATTCCTGCGACGTCAAGGCGCCTAGCTTCACAGGACGGCCAGGAGTCCCCAATACCCAGCCGTACACACCGTCTCTACCCCTTGGCTTTGGGCCCCCACACTGGGCGGAGAGGCAGTGTTTCTGTTTTCCCATCCCATTTGTGTGCCCTTGACGCCCCCTTCCGCTGCACAACCACCGAGAGGCAAAGCTAGGTCTCTCACTAGGCTCAGGCTCAAGGAGACAGCGACCTTCCACCTCCCTCCCCGCGCCTCCCGCCTCCTCACCCGGAAGGGAGCAGCTGTCCCCGGCAACAGCCCAGCCGCACCTGGGCAGGCATTGTTCTAGATCCCAGCGAGACTGTGGCAGGGGGTGGGGTAATTACAGTAATTGAAGGACGGCAGGGCGGAGGTGTGAAAGAGAGAGAGGTGTGTAGGAACTGGAAGGGCCTGAAGCACAGAACAGCCTGGTTGGATGCGCAGAGGGGGAGGGAGAGGAGGAAGGGCCGCGGACGTCTGCAGTAGGGTGAAGAGGGTCCCGGATGACTATTTTGTCAGCAGGCCCGAGTTCGGGGCCTGGTTCGGCCACTTTCTCAGCTATGGGACCCGGAACGAGCGATTGGACACCTCTGTTTCCTCATCCATGACGTGGGAAATAATAACCACCTCACCCCGCTGTGAGCCTAAAGTGAGCTAACCTCATGTATAAAGTCCCTTTGTAATCTATAAAGAGCCCGAGGAGCGTATGGTGTTCTTATAACCAAGCAGGAAGTGGTGAGGGACTCGAGGTAGCACATTACGTTTTATGAGGTGTAATCGCAACAAGAAAGGGGAGGAGGTGGAAAAAATAGGGTCTACGGCAGCCAAATAACTCGTTTTCAGATACTACTTACGTACCCAGGGCAAAGTATGTCGCAAAAGCAGGAGAGACTTGAAATGCCCACACCATGAAAATGATCTCGGGCTAGATGGATCCTAAGGTAATTCTCTCGTACAGCACCTGTAATTCCACACAGCCCTTTCAAGTGCTCTGTCAGTTAGCCTCTCCACATCCCGGGAAAGCAGTTAGGGCTGATGTCATGTGATCTATCTGACAGCAGAAGAAAGTCAAGCACGCTGACGTCGGATAACTGTCCAGGGTCACAGCACAAAGCAGTGGTGAAATTGACATTACCACCCAGGCCACCTGACGCCGAGTCCTGGTCCTCACCACCAGCCCACACACACTGCTGTGGAAGAGGGCTTACTATTTCCAGTACACAGGCTAAGACGGCCTCCAGGGCAAAGCCACCCACCCTTAGACGCGACTCCCTGCACAGAGGAATCTCCAAACAGGTTAAGTCTCCAAGGGCAAAATAAACAAAATATCTGCTCCATATACCACCAGACTCTGGGAGGTAGGAACATGCTATCCAATGTACCTTGAGGACGAGTTACCCTCAGAAAAAGCAGAAAGCTAGAATTACGCCTCTACTGCAGAACACTGCCATCAGCTGATCTCAGTCTGAAGTCCTCCGCTTAATATCCGGATTCTAACACATTCTGGCCTTGTGAATTTAGGTATGTAACAACTTCTCTCAACCTCAGCTTCCTGATAACAAACTATAAGACGCCTAGCACTGTGTCTGCCACATAGCGGGTGCGCAATAAATGTTAGGTCCAATCCCCATCCTTCCTAGCCTTGCTGGGCACGTTTTGGATGTGCCTGTAATTCTGGGTTAGGAATTCTCCATACAGGGGAACGGGAGGCAGCGATCTGGCTCATAACAGCCAGGCTGAAGAGATGTAAAGGTGCTTCTTAGCAACACAGACACTTTTCTTTCCACTAGATAGCTCTAAATACACCTGACTTTTTAAGCATATTTTTTTTAAGTTTTATTTATTTGTTCTGGGACAGAGAAAGGCAGAGAAAGAGAAAGGATCCCAAACAGGCTCTGCCCTGATAGAGTCCGACGCGGGTCTTGAACCCACCAACCATGAGACCATAACCTGAGCCAAGATCAAGAGCCGGATGCCCAACCAGCTGAGCCACCCAAGTGCCCCTAAATCCACCTGATTTGTTCCCTATAATCTCATCACCCTAAGAAGAACTTAGAATAGGTGGAAATGGGTCACGGCCAAACCAGCGTAGAACTGGGCTGAAGAAGGACAGAGGGATGCTTCCACATTCCAAGATCCAGCCCATTGCTCACCCCAGCTCCTTGGACAAGAGGCACTAGATGGCCATCGCAGCCTCAGGGGAGCAATCACCATATTAATCAGCAGACTCAAAAACAAGGATAAGCTTTGTATTTCCGCAGCCAAGATTAGGGGGCCTTTGTAGAAGTAATTGCAGCCTCTCCTTATCTCTCACTGTGTGCCCATAAGCATCCTATTGAGAGGGAGCACCCCAACAGTAGAGAAGGAAAGAGTGGCTACGGCTGTAGGACAGGGGCATGGAAACGGACAAGATGCCTTAGAGGAACCAGGAGCTGACTCTCAATTTTTTTTAATGCAATTGACATTCCTCTAAGCTGATTCAGTGCCGACTATTTAATGCTGTTTTCTGGTCTACTTCCTACATAGACACAGGGAGCTAATAGGCAAGACACCCTCAAAAGGCATCATCTGTTTGACTAAATCGAGACCACAGAGCCGGGTTTTTATTTGCGTGTTTGTTTGGCTTCCTATATGCTCGACGACTTAGATTGATTTTAAAACGACCGCTGCCCCTTCGCTCCTGATCTCTATTGAAAGATGCTCTGGCCCTGGCCCCAGGGGTAGGAGTGGAGACTGGCATGGGCAACCCTCCGGCACGACTTGGAAGCCAGGCTTTGGGAGCGGCCAGGAAGGCTTGTCGCATTGGTGTCTCTGACAAACTTGTTCAGAGTGGTCGGCTGCCCAGGGTGTGGAGGAATTTATCGCAAGGGTGAGGAAGTCTCAGGAGGAAACAATTTGCAGCTGACATGGACATTTAAGCTTTTTTTTTGTGATCCATCCTGACTGAGGCAACAGTTTTTCCAGTAGATAGCCCTAAATCCACCCAATCCACTTCCTATAAGCTTGTGACACTAAAGAGAGTAGAGAATGGGTGGAAGTCGTTCGCAGCCAAACCTCTACTACAGAACTGGCATGAGAGAAGGAGGCTTCCAGATTCCAACATTCCGTCCATTGCTCATTGCAGCACTTTGGAAAGGAAACACTGACAGGGATTGGAGAATCGGGAAAAATGAAAGAACTTCCCCATTCCTAAGGAGCGGGCCGACTCCACAGACCTGAAAGGGAAGGGCAATGTGCAGGACTTTCAGTGACGGAGGGGAAGAGTCCGTGTGAATCAGAAAGTCGTTATCAGTGAAGCCTCGGTTTCTGGTACCTATCCCAGTCATCTGGCAAAGGCGTTTTGATTGGTCGATCCAAGTGTGGAGCCGACGGGAGAAGCCATCACAAGTGGGACGAGGACAGGCCTCAACAGAGCTCCCACTCTTGTCTCATAGCTCACTCACGTCCACGCCTCCCAGAGTGAGCAAGCGAGGGAGCAGTTCTCACGTTTGCTTATGAACGACGCTGCTAAGTGAGGGGGTAAGGAATAACCCCACAGGTCGCTGGCTACTTCCCTTCTAAATGAGCTGCAATCCCAGTCCCCACAGAAAATGCCATCCCCAGGGAGGGGTCTCTCTAAGAGATCTTCAGGGAAGAGGCAGCTACACTCTCTCTGTGCCCCACCTTGTGGTGTGTTCGGGGAGAACAAGGGGATAGAGTGACTTCTACTGGGAGCTCTCAGAGAGCATCCACTCTACCCTCTTCTGCTACAGTCTCTGTTCCCCAGCTCAGCCCAAGGAAGCAGGGAGCCCAAGGCCTAAGCAACCGAGTAAGGGTTTCCAGTGAAGGAAGATCCTGGGAAGAAGCAGGCAGGAGGTCTAGACTGGCCCAAGGACCAGTCTGATCACCAGACACTGCAAGGGACTGGCCAGGCGGGTCCTGCCGGCAAACTACCCAGGTCCTTGGGGAGCAGCCAGACAGACACCCGAGTGATCTCTGCCCATGTCTGTCCGGCTGCGGGACTGCGAGCTTAACCCGCAGAGAGCAGGCAGCAGGAGGCCGGGGCAGAGGGGGGAAAACCGGGTTCGGACAACCACTGGACAGAGAGGGGCAGGGAGCCGAAGGGGGCAAGGAGGAGGCTGCTGGTGCGGGAGCACCATTGGAACGAAGTTTGGAATGATGTGGGAGAGGCCCTGGTGCCTATGAGGTAGCGGCGTGGAAGGGACCCGGGCGAGATGGGGGCAGGGACAGAGAAGATTCGGAAGCAGGGCTGGGGGAAGGCACGGCCGGGAGTTTGCTGCGCCAGGAGGAAACAGCAAAGACAGAGCCATATGAGAGGGCAGGTTTGTAAGGACAGATCGGGGCCGAAAACGGGGCCATAGGGCATAACTTGGGAGACTGAGCGGCAAGCAGGGGCTGGATGTAGAGCGGACGCTTGGTGTGCGGTACTGTGAGAGAGCAAAAGTAGATACGGCCTTGAGGAAGGGACAGGGGCTGCAGAAAATATCTTAGAAGTCGGGGGTATTCATGCTAGGAGGACAAGAAAGAGCGAAGAGAAAGGAACTCGGGGGAGGGCAGAGGTTAGGGGCAGGGTCTGGGGGAAGGCAGGGCTGGCGGGCTGCACTGCGGGAGTGGAAGAGCTGGAAAGACAGATAAAGAGAAAAGGCGATGGTGTATGAAG